TGGGCTATTTTTGGTAGCGAGATTTTGGCCTTGGAAAAGAGTAGAAGTGGGCAAATCCAAAGAATCAATACAATGTTATTCTAAAAGAAAAGGCCTTAATTTTGAATTGACTGTAGTTTAAGAGGGTCCCTAAAAATACAGTATCCTCCTATTTTAAAATCTGGCTCATTTTAATACAAAAATGAGAACTCTATCAAAACAGCTGAAACTGGATAACATTCCTATGAGAGTTGGTATCCCCGGTGCAAAACACTAAATAGTAGGGATATGAGCCCATCTGTAAACTTGTCAAGCAAATCAACAGTGTTATGTTAGTAACAGAAAGTACGCATGGTAATTTCATTTTGTCATAATCAAGATAGCAACAGAAGGAAACAGGAGTGTGGCATCTCTAGAATTCTCAGCGGTCTTCAGGATTCTGTTACCATAATTCTAGCAAAACTCACTAACAGGTATATTTTATCAGAAAATTTCTTAAAGAACGCCCTCAGCTTCCTTATCTCAGTTACCTTCTACTAACCTTCCTCTTCAACCTGACAAAGAACAGATAAATGCCTACTCACTCTGTCAGTTTGTCTACAGACTCTTACATGTGCATGCCTGAAAAGAGGCCAACACTGAAATGAAAGTCAGCTATCTGATATAGGAACGGATGTCTGATTCTCTAGAGCTTGACTTTCCTCTACTAAAAATTATTTGGTTCCATAAGCCTTATGGACTCGAGTCTTTCAAAATGTTCTGTAAATACTAATTTCAAAAGCTTTCATATACCAAGGATAAAGTGTACTAATTGCTTCAGGGAGTATAAAAACATATTAAGCAGAATTCACTCTCGCCTTCGAGAAAATTATCTGTTTCCCTCCCTAGGACATCAACTTCAAGAAGGCATGGCCTTTCCAGTCTTATTTACCACTCCATCTTTAGCATCTAGAATGGGGCTTGGCAAACAGAAGGTGATCAAAATATTTGTCAGTGAGTAGATAAACCAGTGAACATGGAAACAAAGCCAGCATGCTTTGAACAATAGGAGAATGAGCCATGTTAAACGGTGGCACTACTCTAAGGGCAGCAGAAATTAAAAGAAAGAAAAGATTAGGGCAGGCTGAAATAGTCTGAGAAGCCAGGGGGGAAATGGTAGTGGAGCCATCCCAGAAGGAAGGATTCAGATGGTGAAGAGGAGGGAAACAAGGTTCGAGAGATGGAGAGATCATATCTGTCTGGAGGCAAGTGAGGGGTGAATAAGAGAGGAGGCGGAAGCTAGATGAGATGTGGATTTGAGGGCAGACTGCAGAAGGCCTGGGAAAATCAGCCACTGGATTCCACTTGGTTGGAAAGTACCTTTCAAAAATCATTTTCCACATCCCCATTTTAACCTCTAAAGGAAACTGAGTCTCAGAGGAGGCATAAATCTTTAAAAAGCAATAGGTCAATGGGACCGATAACCAATCTTGGGACCCACATAAAGGTAAATTTTGGGTTATAAAAAAAGTCTTAACATAAGTTCCATAGTACCAAAATTCATGGTTTATCAAAGAATAATAAAGGTCATAAGCCTGAATTCACAGCAACTTTCACATTTAAGATTCATACACTCTTAAGTGAAACTTACTTTTATCATCACAGCAGGGTAAATTTAATGGATCTTATAAAAATTGTAACTCTCAACTAATATTAACCAGAGAATGACGCTATTCACTAATTCTGGAAGACCTAGAAATATGTAGACGTCAAAAGCTCCAAATGGTTCTTTGTTGAACAGTCACAATTTTGAAGACAGCTTTAGATAAACCCAACAATTGAGATGCTGTAAATATCCTTGCTCTTTCATCAACCTCTAGCTATATTTAGTAGCATGGTTTCCTTTGTTCAATAATTATTTTTGATAACTGCATATTTATATTCTCAAAAGCAGAGTACTTTGGACATATTTGTTAAACCAATGGACGGCTGCATGGATGGACAATAAATAAACCAAATGACTGTATTAAGCTCTCTATGATGTAATGAATATAGTGCTTCATATATGTGGATCCTAGATTCAGCCAGGGCTAAGGCTTCCAGACTTTGACCAAGATGTCTTTCACATTTAGATACAATCAGACTACGATTAAAATGGGTAGAGGGAGCAGGAACGTCTGGTAGCTAAGCAAGGATGGTGGTGCTGTGAGAGCAGGGGTGGATTGACCGTGAAGCTAACGAGGGTTCAGCATCAGAGCCTCTTACCTGCAAGACCCCTTCCAAGGCCCTTCGAGAAGCCCTAGTAATGTGTTCACGCAGTCGTATATTTTTGTAAAATTTATCAAAGAAAGGTATAATAGAATTCATTCTTCCTACGTGGGCCCTCAAAATAAGTTTCAGGCCCCACACAACTTGGGTCTTCCCCTGTGTAAGAAGTAGGAAGAAATTGGCAGTAGGAGAAACACCGACAGTTACTGAGAACATCATCAGAATAGTGGGAACAGAAGCTTGGGTGCCAGTCAAATTTCTGGGCAGCTTGCTTTTTTTAAAAAAATACCATTTCTTAGGCTCATAGTTCTCATATCACGACTTTCCTTTCAGCTTATACATCTTCTTTGCAAATGAAGTCACAAGAGACATTCAGCTGTTACAAACTTCATGTCAAGCTTTGAAGTGCTTTTTAATAGCAGAAATATTTGGCTCACGTGTGGGCTTTATAGCTATGATAAATACCTCTTAGTTATCTGTCGCTACTGTTATTCCACACCTCCAATTTGGAGGAGAAATTCTGCATATGCATTGAGGCACTAAAAAAGAATATTGAACTCTATCTTAGCTCTTTTGTGAACAGCTTCCTTTTATTTCTTCTCTCATGGAACTAATACTTTCATCACATTGTACTGGTTATGGGTGGGAAAGCAGTGGATGGAGGGAGAATACTTATTATTACATCAGTGGTTGGCCGTCTCTCTTAGCTTCTTGACAGTTACGTGATCAAGTCGCTCCTTAATATAAGATCAAGACATTTCAAGGATTGACTCATCCACTTGTTTTCTAGAAAGTGCTTTAGTAGACTTTGGACAAAATGTTTGCAGGGCTCAAAAGAAAAGAAACTGACCACAATTAGTATGAGATAAAGAAGGAAAAAAAAACCCACTCTCACCTTGGAGGTTTCTATGTGACTATTACTGATATATAGTCTATATGTCCAGGTACATCTCAGAATAATATACCTAGAAATAGCATTTTTGAGAACAGAAAAATAGGAACAAAGACTATATATTAAGCATTTGGGATATGTCCTTTGCTGAACAATGACATTTTGCTTCTTTATGTAACTTAATTATTTTAGGAAGAAATGACAGAAAATACTATTGCACTCCGTAAGTTAAACACTTGACATTTTTATTCCTCAAAATGCAACATTTTAGAAGTCTAGATATGTTTATTAATTAGTGATTATTAACACCCAGTAAACAACATTATGTCTTGTAAAAACACAATCTCTCTTCACAGCATGAAGCTAAAATCTATTATTTCCTGATTCCATATGCTGAAATACACTCAAATGGTCACAAATGACCTTAAACATTAAATAAATGTAAATGAGGACAACATAGAAAATGCACTTTTGATTGATAACTAAAAGACCAGGTTGAAAATCATGTCCAAAAATGAAGTCCTCTCCAGACGGATAAGGCCATCGGCACTGTGAAGGAACGGCTATCCTAACAATGAGGACCCCACAGGTAAGGGCAGACCCTTTCTCTTTCTCTGAACCTACCCCATGTTTTCTGGGAAACAGAATTGGTTTGTTCATTTATATCAGAAACACAGAATATGCTGTCCCCTGTGCCACCAGCCTACTCTGAATATTTTAATGCAGGATTAAAAAATATATATGGACACTTCCTTAAATTCACCAATTAACATAAGAGAAAAAAATTATTGCCATTACACAGCCTCACACCAATATGTGTCATCACTTTTTTTTTAAGCATCGTAGCTATTTTCACGTCCCAGGCCAGCACACAAAACCACTGGCCGCCGGAGCTATACCACGGGTGTGTCCAAGAGAAATAAGTCTGTAGGCCTTATCTTTTAATGAATAGTTTATATATCTAATTAAAAAAAAAGTCAAACAGGGAAGTTGGGGCGGGAGAGTGTCCTCACTATAGGGAAAATTCAAAATAGCAAAGGATGACAGCTTCACAGTAATAAAGAAAACAATTAATTTAACATGGAGTTATTCTAATAAAGGCTGTGGTTAAGTGAATGAGAAAAAATGCACAAATACAGATATTTCATGTGAAAACTATGAAATGATTACTCACTTCCATAGGTCCATTCCCAACGGGGCAAAAATAAAATGTAGCATCACAGAACACACCATTGTTTTGGTTAAGAGCAAGCATTCCTCCTAGATTGTATAAGAATTAACAGAATCTACAAGGGAATGGACACTTAGACTATTTTAAAATCATGGGACAGAGCAGAGTTTCTCAGTCTTGGCACTACTGACATTCTGGGCCAGATGTTTCTTTGTTGTATGGGGGTGTCCTATGCAACATAGGATGTTCAGTGGAATCCCTGGTCTCTGCCACTAGATGCCAGTAGCAACACTCCCCTATCTCCTCCCAAGTCGTGACAACAAAAAAATGTCTCCAGGGAACGCCAAAAGTCCCCTGGGGAGCAAAAACTGCTCCTAGGCTGAGACTCACTGGAGGAGAGCCATTTAAAGAGTTCCTAGGCAGAGCTTCTCCCAACCTCATACTGCATAATCACAAATCATCCCCAACCTAGTGTTTCATATACGTGTCTTGTTTTCTCATCTGTTAATTGGAGATAATGAGAGTATCTGTCTGTCTCATAGTATTCCAGTGAGCATTAAGTGAGATAATACTTGTAAAGTGCTTAAAACAGTACCTAAAACACAGTAAGTACTCAATAAATGTTAGCTATTATTATTTTTTAAATAACCATTCATAGTATCAATAAAAGCAATTTCAATGGGAGTGTTTGAATGCAAAAAAGTGTCTTACCAGCTTGATATTTTCTGGGTCTTAAACACACCAGCCTTGTGATTCCTTGTGATGATGTCTTGCACATCTACAGAACACAGTTAAGAAAGCATCTGCAGTGATTGTGAAGTGACCAAAAAAAAAAGTGCACAAACAGTGATTTTTTTTTTTTTTTGACAGGGTCTCGCTCTGTCGCCCAGGCTGGAGTGCAGTGGCGTGATCTCGGCTCACTGCAACCTCTACCTGCTGGGTTCAAGTGATCCTCCCACCTCGGCCTCCCTAGTAGTTGAGACTACAGGCATGCGCCACCACACCTAGCTAATTTTTGTATTTTTAGTAGAGATGCGGCTTGACGACATTGGCCAGGTTGGTCTCGAGCTCCTAACCTCAGGTAATCCACCCAACTCATCCTCCCAAAATGCTGGCATAACAGGCTGAGCCACTGTGCCTGGCCGATCGTTTGATGAGCACAGTGAAAGGAGAAGAGCTGTATGTAGGGTGTGAAGGAGGATGCTAACTTACCACGGGAAACCTCTTTTACTTCCCTAGGCTGCATTTTATCACCTGTGAGATGTATCATCATGGCAAGCCCCAGAGTTATGAGTGCTGGTGGAAAATAACTGTCCCATAGGTGCCATGTCCTACTTGCTTAAAAGGGCAAGGATTCCAAAGGCAAGCCTCTCTGTCAGCAGGGAGGGCAATGTCAGCCTTCTGAGACTTTCCAGTGTGAAGGTATTTCCCATCTCCTAAATGCTACTAGGGAGGGGTGGGGAGGAGCAACAGAATGAGACTTGAGAGGAAGTGAGAAGAAAAGGATGGAGAAAATCCTGGAGAATCACTCAGAGAAAATTAATTACTGAAGAAAGTTCAGTGAAAGGTCCCCTGAAGAACTGTCTTTACAGACTTAAGCTTTGGCCTTTGGCATGGAAAGACTTGTACAAAAGAACCACATTTATGGAAGACAGGTTTTCAGGAGCCGATTCATTACATCACCCAGCGCCATATTTACAAGGGCTCATCGGAAAAAATTGTCGGGTTTCAGCGCCAGGAAAGACTGGACTGCAGATCAAGGGATGTTGCTTCCACCTCCCAGCACTGTAAGTCTTAGAGTTGATCCTCTTTTTCTGTCTGCTCCAGCACCTGTGCAACTCAGAGCCAAACGTGTGGCCTGACTGTAACAACCACAAGAACCCCTATCGCATATATTTTTTCTACTGACCTCTATTTCTGCCTTCATCATCTTTTCCTGGCTTTCCAATTTTCAACTGCCTTCACTTTCCCATTTATTTTATATGGTATATTCTGTGTCACCGTAAGAAGCCTCAAAATCCCTCTTTTGGAATAAGGCAGGTTTAAATAAACAAGAAATAAAATAATTCCACTGAAGGTTGCAAGCTGAATTAAATTGGGCCCATGGGGAGGACACCAAGCAGACAAGCGATGTTCTCCTATTGCTCAGGAAAACAGATTTCCTGAATGCTCAAAGCAAGCACTGGCCAAGATCTCCCTGCAAAAACAGAGCCACAGGACTTTTTAACCCAAATCTCTGCTTGAACCACCAGGCACACCCATTTCTTCTCTGAGTGAATAAGCAGGTACTGTGATAGCTTTCTTCCCCCAGGGGTGGGCAGGAAAAATCAATTAGGTCTCCTAATGAAGGGCTTTGTTGAGGTTTACAAAAGTGCTATAATGCAGACTTTTTTTTTTCCTGGGTGAACTTTCCTGTATGCAAATTAAATACCGTTAAATTACATTCATTAAAAAAATAAAAGAGACTAATTTGCCTACTTGTTTTGATTAACTAAAATGACACATCGGCCTACAGTTCTGTCTATTTCAGGAAGAAAGTATTTCAGGAAAGTCTTCTAAATGAAACATCTTGGAGAAAAGGACAGCTGACATCTTTATTCTGAGAAGAACAAAATTAGTAAAGAGTCAACTGACAACTGTTTTTGATTAAGTTCCCCCACACTCTGGCCACACCTTACTTAGAGTTTCCATGGCATCCAACGGCATACCATCATGTGCCCAGTACACCTGTAGAGCTGTGTGAGTACATCACTAATCTATCAAGCAAAACATATTATTTTGTTAGTGGAGGTAATACTTTTTATAAAATAGTCACAGGGAATTTCAATTATATAACTCAGAAAACCTATTAATAATTTTTAGTAAACATCTTAACACTATATACTTTTATACAATTTATAAACCTGTGACTCCAGGTGGTAAGATTGAAGCAAACGTATGTATTTATATTCTAGAAGCAATTTTTTCAAATAAAAAAAAATCCATAGCAGTATTTAGGCTGCTTTATGTTTAGAACTGGACAGGAAATATATTTTGTGGTTTAAGAGATTTTTTTTAATATTAAAATGAGCATGAGAAGAAAAAATGTCAATAGTATTTTAAAATATTGCCCTAAGAGATAAATTCAGATATCCTGCTCCCCACCTACCCTTTACCTTAGGTCAGAGTTTGATGGTTCTTCTGGATGGCACTGTGTCCTATAATAGATTTTATCATTCTTCTGTGTCACCTCAGGGTAATAAAGGAAATCCAATCACATTGAGTCAATATGTCCAGGATAGTGTTCAACACAACAGACCAAATTGTGTTCTCTGAACCGCACCCACCTTCTGGAGGACTTCAGTGGGAGGGGCTGGCTGCAAAGAAAGCCTTAATGTGATTTCTGATTAAATGAATACAGAGTAATCGCCTCCAATCCCCTTATCTAGGCAACTGGACTTCCAGAGCTACAGGATAGATGTTTGTGGCGAAAAGGAAACCAGAATTCTATGTCTAGGTTTTCTTCTTAAGTAAAGCACTGTTCAGGGGTAGGGCTCCATTTCAATTTGTTTCAGTTGATTTTTATTCTTAAAAAATATTTTTATAATAGTAATAATTTGAAACAAATTATATACATGTTACATGTATATATCATATTGTTAAAAACAGCCTCTTCCTGCAATAAGAAATTATTATATTTATCAGTAGTTATACATTTTGAGAGTTAGCATGTTCTTTAAGCAAGAAAATATTTTTAAAATAGTAACGCTGTGATTCACAAAGCACCACTTTCTTGGTTTATGTTATCTTTATTTTTGCTGGAGCACCAAAAATGAGGGTAGGAAACTATGAGATTATAATATAAATCCGATTCATTTTGATCTCTCAATGTTTTTTTTATGATTGATGTGGCAATACTTGCTAATTTAAGGCTGCAAAATATTCTTAAATGTGCTTTTTACTCAAATGAATTGAGAAGCGGACACAGAGGTACTATAAACTCTCTGTTGGCAAAGCCAATTGTTAACGTTTATGGATGAGAGGCCTTTATTTCCAGAGCGTGGTAAGGAAATGCAAGATGATGTTCCCCAAATCATTTTAGTTTTTGGTGACACAGAATGGTTTAAGTGGAAAAAACATAAGCTTTGAAGTCAAATGAACTTGGCTTCTAGTGCTGGTTCTGATGGTGGCTGTGTGTCCTTGGGTTAACTAACCTCCCTAAGCTCCATCTCTGAAATAGAAATAATGATACTTATTTGTTAGGCTTAATGGAATATCACATATGATGGGCCTGGTACATAGTAGGTGCCCAATTCATATCAACTCATTATCTTAGTGAATAATCCAGGCAAAAGATTCAGTAGGATGAAGAGGCTGGTAAAGTAACTAACATGAGGTTTGGCAGTTACACTTTATTTTCTTTCTCTGCTGCTTAGAATTAATCACCTGAACTGGCCACAGTGGCTCATGCCTGTAATCCCGACACTTAGGGAGGTGGAGGCAGAAGGATAGCTTGAGCCCAGGAGTTTGAGACCTGCCTGGACAACATAGCAAGATCCCATTCTCCACAAAAAGGAAAAAAAAAAACAAGTTAGCATTAATTATGTGAACACTTATATTGTAGAATTTAAATAACTGGAAGTTATCAAAGGACTTCTGTCCTTCATGTGTATAAATGTGTTCCAGCCAAGGCTGTGTCCCACAAGGATAGATCCTAGACCTTTCTTGTTCACTACTGTATCTTTAGCACCTGTAATGACATGCCATAAATATTGGTTGAATTAATTTTAACTCCAAAAAATATATATTTGTTGAGCTGCTACTACCCAATGTGAGGCACATAGAGTTTACTTATGACTCATCAGTAGATGGAAGTACAGCTGGCATTGGAGGAAGGAACCTGGACATAGGAAGATGGCCTGGGATTTCCACATTGTCAGCCACCTATGATGCAGGCTGCACAGTCCACATGAAGATTTGCTCATTAGTTACTCAAGTCAGGGATTCTATTAAATAAAAATAATGTTAAACCAGGGTGTCTCCTTTAAAAAGCACAGGAGATTAACCCATTTTCGGAGAATCCTAAGTTCAAGATCATGATCCACACCATGCATACTATGGGGATAAGACACTTGAGTCAGGGGCACAGAGAAATGGGTCACCAAACATTGGAGTTTTCTGCATAGAACTCCTAGACGTTTACTAAGACAGGGTGCTTATGCTGGGCACATTAGTGATTGAAACCAGAGAGGGCTGCTCACCTTCAGGAGTTCTGCATTTATTCATTATAATTTAGAAGAGGCTTGGCATCAATAATAACTCAGTATACCATGTCTCTCCCCTATTCCTAGGTCACTGTTATCACAAGCAACAAACCTGATGGAGTAATTATTATATGTGGGCAGTTGAAGATTTCTTTCTTTACACTAAAGGGGCATTGGTTAAAAAAAAAAAAAAAGGAACACATTTCACACTGTTTGAGAATAAATTTGAGAACTGGACAAACCAAATAATCCCATTTCTAATTCATCCTTTGTTCTCTTGGGTATAGATAAAATGGCATCTGTAGGGAAGAGGAGCTTTCGGGAATGGGGGCTTTGGGTTAGTAGATCCAGCAATGCAGTTTAAGGACTGGGGAGACCTTAGGGAAAAATGACCCAGGAGTCTAAGAAAATATTTGTGACTTAAAAAAATTCATTTTTACCTCAAGTCTTAATATCTTTCCAGACATCTCTGTTTAATAAATCAGATCAACATCTAGCTTTTCAGAGTCAAGATGGAAAGCTCAAGAAAACACAGGCAATCCATTTGACACATTTTAGGGAGATAACAAATAACCTCCAAACTGGTTGACATGCCTCTGTGATATAAAGATTCAGAACCAATCCATTCATTGCCTCACATACTAAAACAAATAGAAATAATATAAAATTAAAAGGAAACATCCGAAGATGCTATTTAAAAAAAAAAAAAAGGTAAAATTCAGAATCTTAGAGGCTTAAGAGACTAAGAAGGCTCCATTGGATTCATGAAATTCAGAAACCAAGAACCACAAAAATAATTCAAAAAATGATGAGAATAATAATACAGGCCAATACTCAGATGCGATATGCCATTGCCAGGTCGATTTTCAATTACATTTCACTGATGTATTCATTTGTTTCTTAATGTGCTCATCTTGCCCATTAAGAATAATTAGCAGCTTTACTAAGAGATTTTCTAGCTTCTGGCAATGTTTCTCCCCCTTTTTTGTTGACATCCACTTTTACTTTTTAGAAAGTAATTTTTGAATAATATCCCACAACTGCTATATAATTTAGACTTCCTAAAATTTTAAAGGAAAGATGTAAACAGTAATTTTTAAATAAGTTTGTTTCAATCTATATGCATCAATTGTATGTGATTCAGTGAATTAGTTATTCTTACAGAAAGTGGGCACATAAATAGAAAAAAAAATCATTCATATTAACCTCAGTCAGTAAAACAGATGACAACGAATGCCAATTTTAAGCTCTGTTAGCAAATCAAGAATAACATTAGTATTAAAAGCAGGAGAAACACATTGCCAATTTTAAGGCTTTATGCATGCTTTTTCTCTTAATTAAAAAAAAATTAGATCTAGTTACAACAGAAAAAGGCACACAAACATAGAACAACTGCATGGTAAAAACTGAACTCCATCAGGAAAGTCCTAAGAGATGAAATAAAACACACTACCAGTTTTGGTGTGCATCCTGAAAAGACCTACTTTATCTACATTGTAAAGTTCTTCCCCTCCTGCCCTTTGGCACCCCGCTATATTAAACCCATTGTAAAACCCAGCACAATAAAGCACTCTCAGGGCTGAGCTTCTGAGGACCAAATGTTAAAAATCCATTTTCTTGGGAGGGGGCTGTACCAATCATTTCTTTGAAAGGCCAGCGGAATGAATACAGAATCTGAGATTTCCTCTCTGATTTCAAAAGCTGGCATGGCATCTTTGTTGTTTAAAGCAAAGGTGTGTTAATTAATGACATTAGCATTGCTTCCCTTCTTTGGAAGCTCTGTAGTTTAGCTCAATAATAATTTTAGTACAATTAGATTTACATACTGACTACAGATGTTTCCCATAGTTTGATAAGCGTTCTAATTGGTTTCTGATGCTATTAAATAAGACACCTGCTGACTTGAAGAAAACCTTAGGTTACTGGGCCCAAGCTGAAAGTTTCTGTGGCTAAAATAATCTTCTGTTGTCCAATAATCCTGCTCCCCACACCCTCTAAAAATCCGCTGGGGCTGAGCTGGCATACCTGAGCTTCCTCTTGCTCTGTATTCCCTGACATAAGGAGGAGGAGCACAGTGAAATGATACATGGATACAAGCGCGAAATAACTCAGAATAAAGCAGAGTGAATGAAACAACATCCGCTCATCTTCAGGAATATTTTGAAAAACTTGAGACAGTCTCAAGAACATGATTAAAATCCTGCATTTTAAAAAAGGAAGCACCTTTTGTGATCTCTTTCCCTTGTGTGAAAGACCAAGATTGTGATTGGCTGTTTTTCCTTCCTGAATTTTTTTTTTTTTTTCAAGTCTGTCAGGCAATTAGCTGGGTGGGGCTCTGTGGAGCACACAAGAGTTACTGAACAATATTAGCTACTGTGCTTCTCATACCTCCTTCCTCCTGTTGAGCAGCTTGATGAAGCTGCTGCATATTTTCAAAAAATCATATGGCAGAAGTCGGGAAGAAAATCAGAAATAGATTGTATGTAAGATGCCACAGTAGTCCAAACTGCTTTGGCAGTTTAGGAGCTTAAAATTCAAATTAGTAGATTGTCTCCTTCATAATGTAACTGTAAGGCACACCAAAAAAAAAAAAAAAAAAAAATCCAAAGCAAACATACCTTCTACTTTTCCTCTCAGTTTCTAACAGCTGCTAACTGCCCCCTGAACAAATCAGCTCAACTGCCAACGTAGCCACAAATTATGCTTGCTTTCTTAAAGTACAGTTCAATTTTCATGAACTCTATGTACATATTAGTAAAGCATAATCTAATGTAATGGAGTTCGAACTGTAATAGCATAGCAGAAAAACAGAGATAGCTTGTATAATCCTAAATAAAAGGAAATAATGAAGAACCGTCAGCTGTTTCCAGTGGGAAATACAGGTAACTCCTCAGCAACTAGAGCAGGCACAGTATAACGTGGTACATACGATACCAAGTGCATCAGTGTAATAACAAATATGAAGCTGAAGTTCATATTTGCAAGCAATATCTGATACAGTAAATACCAAATAATTTATTTTACACTGGCAAATTCCAATGGGAATAAAAGAACAAGAATGCTTGAAAATTATTATGAAACAAATTTTCTTATTGCCTCGGGAGGTCCACAAAACACGGGCTCCTTTAATGAGAGACGTCTACAAAAATCTATCGAAAGAAAAAACCCCACAGAGTCGTATGCGAGGAATTCATATATTTCTACTTTTTCTTAATTACTTATCACGTATGTGGGGGGGAAACTCTCTTTTAATACCCCATGCTGTCTTTCTTTATATCAATTGTTACTCAGCCGGGAAAAAGGAATGAGCACAACAAACCCGTTTTCTATCTGAATAAGGATACTTCTGATGGCCTTTTCATTCCCATCAGTTAACAGAACTTCTTTGACATCTGCAGAAATAGCAACCTGAAAAAAAAAAAAGGGAGCACAGCAAACAATGAGCAAATATGCTTGTCTGTGTGGAAGTGAAGACAGGAGTGACAAGCCTTCAGTATCATGCTTCCTCACCTATTTCTCTGTAACAATCTTCAATCTTTTTTCATTTTATGTCTGCATTATTTTAATCATTCAATCAAATCAGTCAATACTTTTATCATTCCATTTGCGGGAGCCTCTATCTTGCTATCATTCTGTTCGGTAATTGCATTGTGACAGCGGATGATGGTATTCTGAGAGGCTTTCATTTGTGGGCTTCTGTTTATCTAGTAGAGCCATCATACAAGGCTGTCACTCTGCCTTTCAGCTTGCTTCTGTCTGACTGCCTGATGCCCTTCATATAACTTTGCATTGCAGGCAGATGGCTTTGTGAGGGTAATTTTTTTGTGAGCTTTGACATGCTCGCACATTGGGCTGTAACCTCGACACATTGTATAAGAGCGTATAAGAGCGACAGGTTTGTCAAATGCCAATCAGTGTAACAATATGCTTTTATTTGTAGAGACATAAAAACTTGTCTAATGCACTGTGCTGCTACATAATATCTCCTGAATACATGACTCAGAACCCAGAGAATGGGGAACGACGTTCCTGAATGGCCAATCTAATTCAAAAGAATCTAATTACTGAGCGCTCTGGATCATGTTTGTTGGTGTAATAATGCAGGCAAAACATTAGCAGCTATATCATGGTGCTCCAACTGTGATTCGCCGGGCTACTCCTGTATCTTAGCAAATGGGACTATAATCTGAAAAAAAAAAAAAAAAAATGCTTTCGCTATGGCAAAGAAAGACTGTGCGAGGCCTGGAATGTCACAACAAGCAATATTGACTGCACTGAGGTAAAATGTTTCTGCTCATCGAGGCAACCATAAAATCAATATGATCCGAAAGTAAGTCAATCTAGAAGGTCTCTCAAGACCCGGCAGCTTGACCGCAGCTGATGCTGTTGGCGGTTCTCTGACCCAGCAGTTGGAGGCCCTGGAACATTTTTCCTTTTGTTCCTCCCTCTGAATGGGATTGGAATGGAGAAAAGACCTACCATGAGCCCAGCCAAGCATGTCATGCCACCCCCTAGCTCACACACAGCAAGGGCCCTGAAAAAGAGAAAAGAAATGGTAGAACCCATACAAATTAGATGAAAATGGTCAGAGGGAGATATATGTTACAAGAACAAATTGCCATCTGCAGTAAGAACGGCACTACCAGGAAGTTGTAGAGACATGACTAGGCTACCTCATGTCGTTTTGCGTTTTAAAAATAATTATGAAATAGAAAAGTCACAAAGCAGGCAAATCAGTGGGGGTTCCCTCATTAGTGTTCACTGCAACATTACCACCGCTGAGCTGAAAAATCTGAGAAGGTTCCCTTTTTTTCCCTTGTCAATGGCGCTGTCTTTTAGAACTAAACTAGCTAGAGTAGCGAAAGATAATTGTTAGGAAAGGATAACACTGTTAATCCACATTCATTCCTTCAAAAACAGTTAGACAAGTAAATGAAGAATATATATGAGTGTGTATATACCTATATTATAGTCACATACACACAACACACACAAAATAAACAGATGCAATCCTGAATTAAAAAAAAAAAATCTAAAACAAACTGAAACATTTTGGAAAGCTGAATAGCCCCCATAAAGAACAATTACACAAAAGCATTTAGCAATTAACACTTAAATCACAATTGACCCCAACACAACACAGTGAACAAACAATGCAGGGACATAATATGGGTAAGCCAGCAAATGCAGGCTAGAGTGATGACTGGGCTCTGACTTCACTGCTCAAAAGTAAAGCGGCTCAGCGTTAAAGCTGACAGTCTAGGGTGGCACTCTGCACTTACCTTTCCCTTTGTGCCTAAATAGCCCTCAACGTGTGACATTCTCGCCCTGGCCCACTGCTCGCTGATTGGCGCTCCAGTCAAGCTTAAGCACAGCGAGATGAGCAAATGCCAGCCTTCCAGGGCAGCTCTGCAGCCCACATTCAAAATTGCCTTGTTCTTATTTACATGCTCAGACTCTTAGGATTGTTTCCTCTTCCCAGTTTGGGAAGTTTATTACCTCAAGAGGAGGGAAAAAAAAAAAAAGCAAAATTAAAAGGGAGGGAGAGGTGGGAAGAGGGGGAAAGGGAGGAGAAGAAGCCAGGCAAGGACATTAATATTGCAAAACACACTGAATGAGTGTTTGGTTGTTCAAAGCAATTATAGACTGGTTGGTAAATATGGACCCATAGAGCTTAAAAAAATACATATTATTGCCTCAATCTTGTAAGTGCATACTGTTAAAATACACACTATGATCACTAGTGGTTTATCTGGAATCAGAATGGGCTATTCAGGAAGTATACATTGAATGACTTTTATAAAATGAGAATTAAAATGAAAAACTTATATTTTCTGGGTCTACCAAACATCTTTAGAATTTTCAAATAAAGTTTACTATCTTCTTTTTCCTAAATTTCATCCATGGGTTTGATCCGTAATGCATACTTACAGTTGAAAATACTTATTTCTATAGCATGAATCTCTAATGGTAATTTATAGAATTTATAGTTCACAACTACATATTGTTAGATATATAAAAATACCTTTAAAACCAGGGGTGGGATGGCATCTTTAAATAATAGCTTGAGGTATTTATTTATCAGACATTCTGTAGTGACTTCCTTAGCAGAAGTTTAAAGAATGTCTTTATTGGTTTTTTTTTTTTGACCTTCACAATCAGTAAGGATTGATTGGAGCTTCACTTTTGTTTCCCCCAAATCAAAGTGAAATAAAATACCTTGAGTGGAAATCAAAAGCCTTTGACATACAGTGAAAATCTTGCTGTGCAATATTAGTACCCAAGGCAATTCAGATTTCATTTCAGAAGCAACATGTGTTCACTGTGAACTTTTTTCCCCTTTCTTTCTGTTTTCCTTTTCTTCCTTTCTGTTTTCTTTTGTTCTTTTTCTTTCTTTTTTTTTTTCTAACAATTTAATTTGAAGAATGTAATCATGGCAATTTTTAATATTTGATTCAATGTCTATGATGAGCTAAAGAATATCTTAAATGCAGCTCTGTACCTGAATATATTATTGTGCTTGAGGCAGTAGTAAGCCAAAACCTCTTCGGATGGCCAGATGCCTAGAAAACACAAAAGGATAAACCTTTTGATTATAGAAGTAATTCTTTTAAGAAATGTCTTATAAAAATCATGTTCAGTACAAACTATTTCAACTTGAATCAAACTTAACATAGTTATTACTTATATCATACCATAAGTGTCTTTTATTGTTGTTGTTTTTATAATAGTGAGATTTATAACCCTTTCCCCCAGCATAATAGAAAAATATCCTAAATATACTTTACTAACTTTTGATCACAAGACAGCCAAAACAGTAACAACCAAAATCACGAGTTAAATTTTGATGGTATTTCAAGTAGATCTTAATCTTGCGCACATAAAATTAATTAATATCAGTTGAAGACTTACTTATATATGCAGCCCATATTAGGCAAAAATAAATGGGACAATCACACACAGGAGCAAATAAAACCACTGATGTCACTATACTTTTTTGTTTGATTCCATGCTAATATTTTAAAATAGACACAATTCTTTCTTTTCTTCTTTCTTTCCTTCCTTCCTTCTTTCTCTCTCTCTCTTTTCTTCCTTTCTCTTTCTTTCTTCTTTCTTTCTTTCTTTCCTTCCTTTCTTTCCTTCTTTCTTTCTTGACAGAGTCTTGCTCTGTCACCTAGGCTGGAGTGCAGTGGCACAATCTCAGCTCCCTGCAACCTCTGCCTCCCAGGTTAAAGCAATTCTCCTGCCTCAGCCTCCTGAATAGCTGGGATTACAGGTGTGCACCACCATGCCCAGCTAATTTTTGTATTTTTAGTAGAGACGGGTTTCATCATGTTGGTCAGGCTGGTCTCGAACTCCTACCTTGTGATCCGCCCGCCTCAGCCTCCCAAAGTGCTGGGATTACAGGCGTGAGCCACCATGCCCGGCCACAATTATTTCTTTCTTCAGATAAATAAAATCAAACTGGAGTATAAGATTAAGAAATTTTAATTTCACCAACTTTGGTACACCTTTAACAATAATTCTACTTGCTAAATTGCATGGATGGGCATTTTCTAAAATTATCATCCGTCTATCACCAATTTCAAATACATAGTCTTCATGAATGGATACGAATTGCTTAAAGAGACAAACATGCTTGGAAATTGTAGTTTCTAGTTGTTATCACAGGATGGTAGGATTATAAGTGTTTTTAATTTTTTCTTTTTGCTTTTTTGTATTTTCCAACATTTTTACAATAAGCATATATTACCCTTATAGTTAGTATAAACTATGACCTTATAAAAATTATGTTTTCCCCCAAGTAATCACACCTAAAGATCAGGCGGAATACCAGGCATCCTGTACTTCCTGAGGCTGAGAGCGCCATGCAGTCCTGGAAAAGGGTAGCAAATGTTCTCTGACTCAGCACCAAGCACTCTGCTGATGGGCCTTAATGCAGGGTTGAAACGTCTAAAAAAGGCTTAATATTTTTCCCATAGATGAACCTCCAACTTTGAGGAGTAAGAAATCCAAACATTTCAGAGAAGAGAATGTCAAAGAAATGTTAAGTAAAATCCTAAGAGATTCAGAGGGTAAATATATAAACAGCAAAGAGATGACTTTATAGAGCATTTGCTGCAGGAAAGCCCAGTCAGTTGTACACACTACCTCCGTCTCCCTGGCCTTTCTGGTAGGAGTGACAGCTTGGGGGAGAAACAAGGAAAACCAGCAAGAAGTGTTTGGAGTCATATTTAAGAGCAAAGACAGAGAGGCAGTGGAGTGTGGCAGTTAAGATCACAGATATTTTGGAGCCAGACTTACTGGGCTCCAGTGCCAGCTCCGCCATTCCCTTGTGGAGTGACCTTGGACAGGTTACTTAACCTCTCAATCTCTCACACTCCTCATTTGTAAAATATCATCATTGCAGTATCATCAACCTCACAGGATTGGCCTGAGAGTTAAATGAGTAAAATACATGCACTATGTTTAGAATGGTTCCTAACACATAATAAGCTCAAAGAAAAAGAAAGCTTTTGTTAATGTTATTCTCCAGCAAAGAGAGATGGAAGACTGGAAGAGAGAATATGTGAATCCAAAATGATTATTCCAATAACCAGAAAAATGGAATGCCATTTCGACCTGTTCCTATTCTTGGATCCCCAAATCCTAATACCTGGCCATATCTCCACATAAAAAGAACTCTATAAAGACCAAAGTACAAATAAAAGTTTCTGAAGGAAGAGCATAAGATAATGCTGTATACCAAGTTGATACAGTCACCATAATAATGAATTTCTTTATGCCTTTAGTAGATGGCTTTGAGGTTTTAAAAAAAATGACAGGGAAAGAGTATCTAACTAAAATTTAAGCCTTGGTTAAGTACAAAAATGTGACTTCTAAAATGCAGTCTTTTGCAATAGTTTTATAATTTTCTCAAAAAGTATAGGGACTAATTTTTAACAAAATTAAATACAAAGAACAAAGTTAAAAAAAATCACCTAAAATTTGACCACTAGGATATAATCACTGTTAACATTTTGGACATTATCTCAAAAGATCTTTCTAGGCAAACATATTTTATACCAAGGGGATCTTTCCATGAAGATCTTCAATAACCTGATTTTCCGTCATTTAATATGTGGTAGATAGCTTTACATGAAAATAAAATTATACTCTACCTGCATCACTATTTATAATGATTGCTTAGACATTCTATGTGTGCATCAGAATTCATTTAACCAGTTTCCTCTTGACAGACATTTCAGTTAGTTTCAAAGTTGTTGATATAATGAGTTTATTGTGTTGGTGCAAAAGTAATTGTGGTTTTTACCATTAACATCAACAGTAGTGCAATGACAACACATCTTTTCCCAACATATGGTTTTCTCCTTAGGTCAAATACTAAGAAGTGGGATATCTGGTCAGAGGTTACATATATTTTCCATTTTAATATATCAAACTGACCTTCATAAAATATGTACCAAGTTATACTCCTAATAAGAGTGTTTGTTTCCTCAAAGCCTTGCCCAGATGGGGTTTTTTTCAACATACTTTATTTTTTCTAATCTAAGTTTTTAAAAGTTATCTCAGTGAAAATCAAAAACTAAATGAGATACCACTTCACACCTACTACGATGGCTACAATAAAAAAAGTCAGACAATAACGAATGTTGGGTTGGTGAGGATGTGGAGAAACTGGAACCCTCATGCACTGCTGGTACGAATATAAAATTATGTAGCCACTTTGGAAAATTGTCTAGCAGTTCTTTAAAAGGTTAAATGTAGATTACAATATGACCGAGCAACTCCATTGCTACCCAAGAGAAATGAAAATATGTCCAACAAAAACTTGTACATGAATGCTCATAGCAGCATTGTTCTTAATAGCCCAAAAGTAGAAACAACCCAAGTGTCCATCAACCGATGAATGGATAAATAAAATGTGATACATCCATACAATGGACTATTATTTGACAATAAAAAGAAGAACTGATACATGCTACAACATGGATGGAACTTGAAATATTATGCAGGCAATATCCAATTTTATTACAGTTTTCTTTATTGTGCTTTGTAGATGCTGCCTATCTAGTTTTACAAATTGAAGCTTTGTGGCAACCCTGCACTGAGCAAGTCCATTGGTGCCATTTTTCCAACAGCACGTGCTCAATTAGTCTGTGTCAGATTTTGGTCATTCTCATAATATTTCAAAAGTTTTTCATTATTGTTGTATCTGTTATGGTGATCTGTGATCAATGGCCTTTGTAACTATTTTGGGGCGGCATGAATTGTGCCCATATAAGATAGCTAGCAAACTTAATTAATAAATCTTGTGTGTGTTCTGAGTGCTCCACCAATCGGCATTCCCCCATTTCTCTCTCTCTCCCCAGGCCTCCCTATTATTAGGCTAATTAATAAACCTAAAATGGTCTCTGAGTGTTCAAGTGAAAGGAATAGTTGCACGTCTCTCACTTTAAATTAAAAGCTAGAAATGATTCCACTTAATGGAGAAGGCATGTTGAAAGCTGAGAGAGGCTCAAAACTGGGCCTCTTGCACTAAACAGACAAGTTGTGAATGTAAAAGAAAAGTTCCAGAAGGAACTTAAAAGTGTTACTCCAGTGAACACACCAATGATAAGAAGGTGAAACAGCCTTATTGCTGATATGGAGAAAGTTTGAGTGGTCTGGATAGAAGATCAAACCAGCCACAACATTCCCTTAAGCCAAAGCCCAATCCAGAGAAAGGCCCTAAGTCTTCAATTTTATTAAGGCTAAAGGTGAGGAATCTGTAGAAGAAAAGTTTGAAGTTAGTGGAGGCTGGTTCAAGATGTTTAAATAAAGAAGACATTTCTGTAACAGAGAAGTGCAAGGCAAAGCAGTAAGTGCTGATGTAGAAACGGTAGCAAGTTATCCAGAAGAATTAGCTAAGATCACTGATGGAGGTGACTACGCTAAACAACAGATTATCAGTGTAGACAGATAGCCTTCCATTGGAAGAAGATGCCATCTAGGACTTTGGTAGCTAGAGAGAATTCACTGCCTGGTTTCAAAGATAGGAAGGACAGGCTGACTCTCTTGTTGGTGGCTAGTGCAGCTGGTGACTAAGTTGATGCCAATGCTCAGTCACCATTCTGAAAATCACAGGGTCCTTAAGAATTATGCTAAATCTAGCCAGGCTCAGTGGCAGGTGCATATCAGTCTACTCAGGATGGTGAGGCAGGAGGATTGCTTTGGTAAGCCCAGGAGTCTAAGCCTAAGTGGGCTATGATCGCATATGTGAATAGCCACTGTACTCCACCCTAGACAACATAGTGAGACTCTGCCTCTTAAAAAAAAAAAAAAAAAAGAAGAGAAAAGGAATTATGCTAATTCTACTGTGCCTGTACACTATAAATGGAGCAATAAAGCCTGGATGATAGCACATCTGTTTATAGCATGGTTTACTGAACATTTTAAGCTCACTGTTAAGACCTACTGCTCAAAAAAAAAATCAATTCCCTTCCAAATATTATATACTGATCATAGACAATGCACCTGGTCACCAAAGGGCTCTGATAGAGATATACAAGGAGATTAATGT